GAAGAGATATGCACCTACTCAATAAATATGATGCACTTGTTAACATTTATGCATTCGTAATACTTATGCCATACTCATGCATCTAGGATCGGAGGAAGAGATCACGTTGCTGAAATTCAAAGAAGCAGAGGAAGGGAACCAGCAGGAGGATCCGCAAGCCGCAGCTCCCGAAGGCGTGGAGCAGAACCCTGAAGAGCTTCCGGAGTGCCCTGACCACCGCCCTACTTCCTTTCTGCGAGGCAAGCCCCGGAGCATTATAAGTCTCCCAGTAATTTACAAATGTTTACTTAAGTACTTATGATTGCTGCATTAGGTTATAAGAGTTGAATGAAACCACTTGATGCATGTACATTCCTTGTCCAGATATTACACCTTTAACCGGTATAGGTCCAGGATCGAATATATGCTTAGCCATGCTTAGACCGGTAGAAGTCGGGTGATTTCCGGTCACCTGCGAGATATAGGTGGATACCGAAACACGGTTGGTTATAATTGCTATCGTGGAAAAGAACCATGGTTAATATAATTGGAGACCGGGCGGGATGTCGATAGAGAAGCAACAAGACATGGAGGTCTTGGGTGTGGATCTATCCCTGTCTGTGTCGATCAAGGACCGTACCATTGTTGGAACTTCGACAAGATTGAACGCATGCCTCTCACTTAGCTGGCGGATAATTCGCTTCCGACCGCTGGGCCGAGTAATTCAACTCGGTAGCCGGAATCGTTCATTGCGCGCTCCTTCCGGGAACGATCGATCGAGCCCAAGGGCGAGCTTGGCTCGAGCATCCCGGCATCTGGTGTTCCAGATTAAAGCGCGGCATACGGACCATGAAAATGTGTACCGAGTTGTATCAAAGGTGACCTAAGGCTATCGTGGTTTGGTAGACTGGGTTTGTGTTAGGAATAAATTCCCACCGGTTGAAATCGATTCAATCGCCATCTCTCCGGATAGTGAGAAACTTGGCTAGCTCCAACATCGTAGTAATCATTTATGGAACATGATGGTTCGGATGAAAATGGAATTACAATACCTGCTAAGGTTACTATTGTATGCTTCTAAATGATATACCACATGTTTGGCACAGGATAGTTGCTAATCTAGAAATGGATAGTTATAATTAACTTGGTAAAGGAATCTTAATTGTACAACGGATCAGTTGCCTTTTTCGTAAAATGTTGTCAAGTTACGTCCACTTATACAGCCTTGCATAATCCTTGGAGTCATTTTATTTCTGGTTCATGACGGGTAAGTCTAGCTGAGTACCTTCTTGTACTCAGGGTTTATTTTTCCCATTGTTGCAGATGGCACTGTGTATCATGGTTATTGCAAGAGTTGCTTCTATCCCGCTGTGGATGAGGAGTAAGCCTTGGGCAGGCTTCTTTATTAATTCCTATCCTTGCTTTTGTGGACCGTGATCTAGATTGGCACTGTATCAAACTATGTTGGAAACTTTATCTTCGAACTTATTTGCTTTCGCTTTATTTATCAAACTCGATTTGTAATAACTTTTATTCGTACTCTGATGATGAAAAGTATCTGTGAACTTTATGTAATATGTGGCATGTATGTTGAATCCTGTACGATCTTGGTTGTTGTAAATCGTTTATCGAGACCCGTCGTGGTACTCGACGGACTACCGGGTTTATATGGGTTTAAGTATGACAGTGCGACCGCTTGCGGATTGCCATTGTACTTGTATTCTTATAAATTGATCGGTTCTGCGACAATCAAACCTATATTAGACAAAGTGTTGGAAGTGACTTGATGCATTTGGAGTTATTCATATTTGATGAATGGAATCAAGTCACGTGCTCAACATGGCTATGCTCAAATGAAAAGATCAATATCAACATGATTGAAACCCTCACTTGATGAAGATTGGAAAGCACGGCTTCGGTTCAAAGAGATCAACTCAAAAGGTTTAATTTTGTTATACTTTTAAATTTGAGTTAATAGGAATGTCGTACTATTAAGAGGGATGCATCATGTTGATAGATAATGTTTCATAAGTGCTCAAGCCAACCCATGTGAGTTTTGAGTGTTTGAGAGACAAAAGTGCTAACTGTTTTCTTGCTGGTCTGGCAATACCGGGTATTGATACCGGACGTGTCCGGTATTTGTCCAGCAGATGTAAAACCTTTGTCCTCGGGTTGGTTCATTGGGAGTTCCGATGATCGGAAGTTCCGGCAATGGTCAGGAGTTCCGACGTCTCGCAATTTAACTGAAATAGAGTATTCACTGTAGTGGTCATACCGGACGTGTTCGGTATGGACGACCAGAGGCCAACGACTAGTTTTCAAATGCCGTGAGGGTCGGGAGTTCCGACGTAAGTCGGGAGTTCTGACGGACGGAAGTTTCGACATACATCAGGAGTTCCGACACCTCACACACTTTAACTCAGTTACGATGTTTTCAAATGTGCTGAGGATCGGGAGTTCCGACGGTCAAAAATTCTGGCATTCATCGGGAGTTCCGACGCCTCACAACTTCACTGTAACTTAGTTACCGTTGGCGCAGTGTAAGTCGTACCGGATGTGCCCGGTATGCATACCGGACGTGTCCGGTATTGCAACGGCTATAAAACGGCTAGTTTTTCAAAGGGGGCTATAAATACCCCCAAGCCTCCACCTTTAGAGGCTGCTGATTCTGCTGATACACACACACGTTTTTGAGCTTTGCTAACTCTCCCAACCCTCTCTTAGTGAGTGATTGATCAAATTTGCCAAATCAAATTGTGGGTTGAGTGAAATTCAAAAAGAGAGCAAATCCAACCATTTGAGCACTTGTGCATATTGTCAATCTCGTGATTCGCATTTGTTACTCTTGGACTCTTCGATCCTAGACGGTTAGACGTCGCCGGAGAGCACCCGAGAGATTGTGGTGTGCCTCGGAAAGTTTGTAACGGTCGATTCCGCCGCCTCGGAATCAATTAGTGGAAGCAGGAAAAGGAGTTGGAAAAGACTCCGGCTAGAGTGACCTTCGTGGTACCCTCTAGGGCTGACCTTCGCTGGGTCGCCTACAGCCCCCTCAACGGAGAGTAGGACTCGAACGAGTCCGAACTTCGGTAAAACAAATATCGTGTCTCAATTCGCATTTCATTTGATATTTGTGTTGCTCCAGCTCTTGTGTAGGTTCTCTGTCTATATTTATATCTCTAGTAGGTACCTGCAGTTTGGTTTGAAGATAAAAATCGAAAGCAGCAAGTTCAGGGCTGTTCTGCAGAAACCGTGCATACCGGACACGTCCGGTATTAGAGCCCTATGCTGAAAATATTTATTCGCAGTTCTAACTTTGTGTTGCAGAGTTGTAGCTTCTAGATACATTCTTTTATACCTTGTATACTAGGTGGCTAACTTGTGAGGGGTGGTATTACTCTTATTTGGAGTTTCCATTTTGGAAACTCCCTTTACTAATCGTTTCCGTATTTAAAGGTGTTAATTTTCAGAAACGCCTATTCACCCCCCCTCTAGGGGGTATCCTAGGTCCTTTTAGAGATGAGGTCGAGTTTGAGAGAGAGAGGATAGAGATGAGAGGGGTATTATGGACGTTTTGACTGACTTGACCCACTTGTCAGGACTCGCAAACAGTGAAAAACGAACGGAATACGGATGGAATGGCTTGGAGAGCAAAGAAGTTCAGAACGGTGGCATATGTGTGCGATCAACTTTTTTAATGATCTGTGTGTAATTACAAACTTTTTTAATGACACACATGTAAAAGCCTCAAAACCAAAAGCTCAAACAAAGAGACTATTTTTAGAGGCTGCTTTTTCAAGCAGCTGTTTTTTAAGTAGTCCTTTCATTTTTAAGACATTTTATAGTGAATTTACCGGTAAAACTAATTTGATGTAGATGTTCACTCATTTTTCATAAACGTGATCAAAATTAGAAAAGTTTGATTTAGGACATAACTAAAACAACTTATGTCGTAGGAGTATATTATCATAGATTTTTTTTTTGTTAACAAGTTTTCTAAGGATGTTTTCAAACCCTAATGTGTTGAAAAGAAACGAAGCATGATCCGACATTGATGCCGAGGAACAGCGTCAATGATTCATCTATTTTTATGAAAATTGAGGTGCACACAGTCACACAAATATAAAGGTGTTGCAAGGATCTCCATGCAGTTGAAGGGGGAGCATGCCATGAGCAATGAGATCTAAGATACGGGACCGCGTTTTAAAATGCTTTGCAGCCCTGTTTGCTTGAACTTATCAATTAAGGTACAGTATTTTTCTCTCACAACAAAACAGTATCAGTCAGCTTATTAGCCGCAAAAACCATTAGCAAAGGCATGCTGGCACCTAGTGTGGAAAGTTGGAACGGAAGGCGATATCATCTTATTCAGGATCTTTGGCCTGCCGTGCCCATGCGGCCATGCGCCGTGCCACCAAAAGTCCAAAATATTGTATATTCACGATTCCTATTGCTAACTTATATAGCACCCAGAAAAAAATCATCTGGGTAAACAAAGCTTGAAGAACCTTGCGGGGGGGGGGTTTATCCTATCTGCAGGATAAAGAGTGATTTTCTCAACACTGCAGAAATTGAACTGAATACTATGATATGGATCCTCTCTGCAGAATAAAGTATTATCTTCCCAACATTACTGAAATTAAACAGAATATTATGGATATGGATTATGTTGTTTCCCCTTATCTACAAGTAGAGGTTGAAGAACCAATGTCCACAGACAGCTCATGAGAAAGCATAGCAGAATAATGCCACCAAACCAAAATGAGTGACCTAGGATCATTATTGTTTCCTAGAGAATACGGGTCATGGTTACAAATTATTGCTCTATAATGTTTCCTAGGACAGTTGCAAGAAACCCATGAGGGATTCAGACATGTCCAGGCAGCAATTAGCAGCTTATACAACAAGCACTACAGGTTCTGATGCAATACAGCAAGTATACAACGAATTAATAATGTTATGTGGTGCATGATTCACATAATTTGGTGTGTACAATGCTCGGTTAACTGGCTCTAGTGATGTTATTATGAACCAAGATGCACAGTGCACTGGGTCTGGCTCAATTCAATCAATTTGTCGTCCTCCAATGGCTGAAAGAAACACAAGAGTAATTACACAAATCCCTGTGAAAATGGCTGGGCGGAAGGCATAGTGCTTTTACCTGCTGCTTTTGGAACTGGGGGAGTTGAACCCGTTTCAAGCCATCTGCTAGCCGCTTGCATGGAAGAGATGATTCAGCTGCAGCGAACTCATTCAGAACCTGGCAAAATTTTGGCAATACATTGGAAAAACGGAAGACCAAGGGATAATGCCCTTTCCATTTCCTTTCCGTAATGAAATGATTGATCAAGTGAACATTAGACCACTGTTTGGAGAGGTTTTTCAATCATTTCAGTTGATTTGGTGAATGATAGAAATATTTCCTTTCCTTTAGGACTCCTCATTGTTACTACTAAGTTTAGTTGCTCAATTCTTTGTTTCAATTCTAAAACTATGAACCAAATGTCAACCTGGTTCAAGTTTGTGTTTCTGTTACATAAGCAGCAACAGATCTCAATTGTAAACATACAAACTGTCTATCAGCAACGTTTTAGAGTCTCTTAAAGAGTAGTGCAGGCTAACAGCATCTTCTATGGTTTTCATTTCAGCTTAAAACAAAAGGCTTCTCAATACAACTACTCAGTTCAAACCTCTTAAGTACAACAAAGTGAATACAAACGACAATGTCCACATCAATGGATGGCAGAGCCACCTCATCACAAGTATAGCTTGCCTAGAGGTGACTCATGGCCACACACACACACACACACACACACACACACATGTCAATACCTGGGTGACAGACAAGTCACAAAAGATTGGTAGCACACCCTCACAGTGGGCATCCAGCACAAATCAAACAGGAGAAATAACTCAGCCTAGTGTAGCTAGGGCTACAAAGTGCAGGTGGTGCTATGCTGCAACCTGTCTATCCAGGATGTCGGTTGTTCAGCTTGATCCAGTCCTAAAACTGAGTCAATAAAAGTCTATATATTATTTTTTCTATGAGGAGCGGAATTACCACTTCCAGTGTGTTGAGATAATTAAGTTACAACACCAGTACACCCTACATGAGACACCAAAATTACAATGTACAAGAACCAATGCCAAACGAATGGTTTCTAAGCTATGGAATGCCTATAACAATATAGCCTAGTATACCTTCAGCTCCAACCCTCTGCTCACTCCATCCTAGACTCCAGTTCATATAAGTTGCTTGATTAGGTTTTGTGGCTTGCATGTTATCAGTGTCTGGAGGGCAAAAAGAGCCAAAAATCAAAAGCCAAGATGAATTAGTTCCCTCTAAAATCTAAATTATACGAGACCATTTCTTCACCAACTGCAAATCAAGCTTTTAGGCCAGTTCAATTCACTTTCCCTTTTAGTTGGCTTACACAGATCATGCACATGCCTAATCTATTGAAATATGCCAACTGCATTTGTGACAAACATTGGACTATAAGCAGCATCAGAAAATATTGTCAACTTCCTAACAGAGTAAATGATTTTCTGCCTAGCAAGCGTAGACTAAAACATGCTCATACAATAACACTGGATCTTCTGGCTAGTGAACTACTGATCAGTGAATAGCAAATGGAAGCTGGCCAATAGGAAGATCCAGTTAGAAACAGGCCCATTAGATCCGTAGTCTACATTTATTTGGCCCAAAAAATTTGCTCACTAACATTTCCACTTACACTGCTCTGCAGGCATGCTTCCCAAAGTGCACCTCAGCCCTAACAATCCTTATCATTTTCAACCTCATTGTTTATACTTGAGAATTCAGATACTAATGAGGGGCATATTCTTGGTCGCATTTTCTAAAGAAAAAATGATTGCCTAACTATGCATGGTTGCGGTGTCAATTATTTGAAAACGAAGGGAATACCTGATTTCTGATTGCTCCAATCAACATATCTTGGCATCCAGATGCATGGACATTCTTCAAATTTGGGCACTGAAGAAGCAGACGTTCTGAGGCAAGTAATTCTAATCATCAGCAATGGTGACAACTATTTACCTACTTGATAACCTGAAGAAAAAATGAAAGGAAATGATACCTGGATGTAGATTTGTGCAAGAGTTAAGATTGAGATCATTTAACTCTGGACAATTTACATATAGAGCCTGCGACATGTGAAACTAGTTATGGATTTTATTAGTAAACAATAGGATGTATCAATGCCCATAAAGTCCAAGGCTTACATCTATTGCAGAACAGCCCCACAGACTTAGTTTCTTCAAATTCCCATGCTTTATAATAAGCTTTTGGTGAACAGGTTGCCTCTTTAAGGTGGATAGTTTTCGTATAATTCTAATACCTCCATTGAGTTCACCAAAATGCGGACCCTCTTTTTCATTCTTCACGTTAGCGCATAGGCTCATTCCACAGTCCATGAGTTGAAGACATGGCAACTGTGCTGTGGCTAGCTGGATCCCACCTATAGAAGCATATAAAAAATTATCTCTACATTAGGGAATCATGCATAATAACCAGTAAACTCATGTGCCGTGAGGTAGGATTAATAGACAGAGGAAAGAGCTCTGGGGCTTACGTGTGGTCACATTTGGGCAAAGAGCAAGGAGCAGCCTTGATAAAGTATGAGGGAACGCTTTGCAGATCATCCCAACACCATTATCACTAATGCTAGATCTGGAGTAATCGAAACAGGTAATTAAAATCAGCTAAATACAAGTAATTCCGGCTGGTAAATAAAACAGCAGCTTTCTGATAATCGATAACAGATTGCATTTCCAAAGCAAAGGAATGGAGCTTACCCACTTAAATCAAGTAACTCCAAGCTCGGACACGACCGAACAATAGATGCAACAGCTGCATCAGTTATTTTTGAACCTAGAATCAAGGATAGCATGCACAGTCCCCTGGTGAACAATAATAACGAGACTGAAGTTAGAAAGTTAAAGTAATAAAAAACTAGAATATTGATGAGATTAGCATGCAATATGGCAACATTAGATCAAAAAGATGGTTGGATAGTAGAAAGAAAAGGGCAGAAATATACCTGAGATTAGCATTCTCTAGAGCACATACAGCTTCGTTGGATAATTGATTCGATGATATGTGCATTTTTTTCAAGTTAGGGCATGTACGACCTAGGCCATCCATCAAAGTAACCAGATCGGTACAATCACTACTTTGTTGTGTGAAGCACAGTGAGAGCTCATTCATATTACAACAGTTCATGACCTGTAAGAAACATCCCCTCTAGTGAACTAATGCAGAAAATGAACTTGCTATCATTGTGAATAGCGTTTGAACACAGTATTACCGATTTCGAAAGGGAACAAAGATCTGACAGCCAAAGAATTGAAAGGCTTGAAGAGCACAGATTAAGAATATCCAAATTAGAGCAACCACCAATTTTGAGGACCGAGAGAGTAGACTTCTCCGAGACAAAACGACTTAGATCCTCCCTGCACACAAAATAAAATCAGCTTATATTTATGTACGTGCTTAAAGCAAACACGATATTACAAATATAGGATGCAAATATAATCATTCACAAATCAATACAAGATGACTTTTGCAGTAGGATAACCATAACTAGCTAAGTTTCTGCAAGAGACGTAGCATGGCAATCAACATATGACTAATGCACTAACTTGAAACAGAGTAATAGACCACTAATTGCACTGCACTAGTAGATTTGTAATAACTTCAAATGTCCATAGGACCTCTGCTTCACACTTAGACTGTTTAATAACCTTGATCTCGTCTTGCAATTTTAGTTGAGGAGCTAGCATTGGAAACAAGGTAAAACATGTAAAATAGTAATCATTATATTACAACCAAACATAACGTACCCAGTAATCCTGTTGACTGCATCAGCAGCCATGTTAATCTCGAGAGTTCTTAAACTTGGGCAGGAAAATGCAATATAAGACAAGGTAGTGGCATCAACATCACTGCAAGAAACATTAAAGAACAAGATACATGTTAAGAGTACTAAACATCATCTCAGTAAAGAAACATACACCGGTAGGGATACATGATCTTATACTGGTATAAATCATGGATAGTAATTAGTGGCCATTGATAAGCACTGATCAATTTAATTGCGAGTACTGATTGCGGGTCTCTAAAGTCTAAACTACAGCATTGGTCAGAGAAGGCATAATGTTTTAGAAACAAGTCAAAAGAATTAGTTTTAGAAACAAGTTAGCAAGACAAGGAAAATCTGAAACGAAGCCATTTCTATAAAATTTGCAAACAGATGCATGCACCGTTTATACATTTATCTAGCAAGCACCTTTGTACAGTACCAGATTTATAGCCAGCAACAATCGACCTAAACTTAGTGTCCACTGTCCACTCCAAATGATCCTACAACTTGACTAGGTACTTCTGGAACCACATTTTGGTCCTTTTAACGTTACTAGACTAGTTTAGAGTTGTATACTTAATGTCACAGAAGAAGCAAAGGATAAGCCAGTAATAAGGCACCCTGTTCATTATGTTCTGAAGTGGGACATTAATCTGACACTAATATTCATGAGCTTACCGACGCAGTTACCGACCTAAAGCATAACGGAAGGTCTGCATATGGATCATGCAGCAGCATGACAAGACATAGACAACTCCCCACTCATTTCTCAACAAGCATCCCTGCTTGAATCTGGCATTACCAAAACTGACCCAACCAATGCTCAAATATGATCTGGGGGCACCAACATCTTATCTCCTCACACAAACAAAAAAAAAGTCAGCAAGTCCACATATCCAAAAATATGACAAGGATGCGGTTTCTCCCATTTTTGCATGGTCTTATATAGTAGGCACTGTTATTAATTTGTAGTGCGTGCTTATTGAGCCCTGAGGATTAACCAAAATCCCAACACCCTTATCAGATAGGACATAAATATTCCGTACATGCCTTGCCTCCTTGTCTTGTCATGCCAATTGGAGAAGGCAGCAGCACCACCAGTTTTCAGATCGGTTACCCGTCTTATACTGTACTACTACTACTTTGGAGGTCACCCAGAAATATGGCCTTTTTCCCATATATAATAATAATATTCTAGCGATTTATATTGTATCCCTTAACCAAAATTGAATAACCGTAAGCAGAAATTACGCGCGGGCGAATTCCCTGGTCATCGCAAAAAATGAGCAGCGCGGAGCTGAGATCGGCTCATCGATCTCACTGCGGCCGCGCACCCAGATCGCGTCAAGAATCGCACTGTTCCGGATGAGATTCGTTGAGATTCGGCCGGGGCACCTCACCTTTCCATTCGGAGGTCCAGGCGGGAGAGCGCGGTGCAGCGCGGGAGCAGCGCGCCGAGGAGGCCGGCGCCAGAGGATGCGAGGACGCGGAGGCGGAGCTCCTCGGCGGCCCGCCAGACCCGGCCCGCGCAGTCCCGCCAGCCGCGGCTGACCCCCGTGGCGGCCATGACCCCGCGGGGGCCGAGGCGGCGCAGCACCTCCGCCATGACCTCCCTGGGCATCTGGCGGGCGCCCACGTCCACCGTGGCCTCCTCCTCGTCCAGCTCCGCCTCCCCCATGTCCATGTCCTCCACCTTGGGCTTCTTCTCCGGCGAGGGCGGCGTAGTGCCGGCCTCGTCGAAAGAGAGGGCGCGGCGGAGCCTGTGCTCCCCTCCGGCGCCGCTGGCGCTGGCGGCCCCGGACGAGGAGGAGGGCGACGGGGTCGGGGCGGCGGCCCCGCCGGGCGCGGGGGCGGGGACGGGGCCGACGCAGACGTGGCCCTTTTTGGGCTGGCCGCAGCGGCCGCAGTTGTAGTTGCCCCGCGTCTTGGGGCGCGGCGGCGGCGGCGGCTTGGGCAGCGACGCCATGGCCGCGGGCGGGGCCCAGCCCAGGGGCCGGCCCGGGGGTTAGGGTTTGGGAGGGGGGCGCAGCTGGGCGGTGTCGGTCGGTCAAGTCAGGAGAGGAGGGGGAAATAGCTGGGGCAGCAGGCCCGCGCGGGAGACCGGGGAGGGGTTGGCGCCATTTTTCGGGGCGCGAGGACGATGGATGGATGGATGGAGAGGGGAGGCGAACGGGGAACGGAGGTGAGGATTTGGTTTTCGCGCAGCGCCGCGCCGGCCACGACGCAGACGCCACACACATGCACGGGGGCACAGGCACAGCTGCCCGCGAGTAGGGTGGACAAAATACGGCTCGTCAATTGGCTCGACTCAGTGTCTAGTTTCATGGGATTAGCTCGACTCGTTTTAACTTTTTCATGAGCTAAAGTGAAAATCAGCTCGCTGTTTTAACGAGTCAGCTCGTGAGCTACTCACGAGCTCAAATGAGCTAAGACCTATCTATCCACGACCATGAATTCAGAAGATGATACTGACCTAGAAGTGTACATCTATTCCATGGATATGTGATCCTTATTTTTAGCTATTTCATATGAATTTTGATTTTATAATTGTTGTGGTACTTAAATATTGATTTATGGATTGTTTTCCGGGAAGAAGATAATGATGTTGACATTGAATTTGTGGACTTTTCGAAGTCTGTGGTGGCAACTAACTAGTAAGTATGCTGGAACTGTATGGATCATGGATGGACCAGTTATGTTGTATGGTTGATACTTTTGATGAACCTGATATGTTTTAATCGGAGTGAAATACACTGGCGGCCATTTAACTTGTCGGTCTATGTCAATCCGGTCCACGAACTTACAAACGCGGAAAATAGACCCCTGAACTTGTCAAGTTATTTATTGCAAGTCCATTTCCCATCTGGCGCGGCCTTGAGCGACGCGGGCGATGCCGGTATGTAACGAAGCACGTGAGCCGACGTTTCAACGGGCTCGCCACGCTTGCTTGCCGGCGAAGACTGTGATCGACTTGCTTTCACCGCCGACGTGCCGCCGACCGCTTTCGCCGCCCTCGCGTCTTGACATCTGCAAATTTTTTTTGGCGCGTTCATAGCGTGAGTGAGGTACTGGAAACCGCGTCCCCGCCGTTAAAGCGCGAAGCCACTGGCCGTCTCCCTCTTTCTCCTTCCTCTGCTCACCGCCGAGCTCCTCAGTTCGCCGGCCAATTCATCGCCACCAAACCATCATCGTCTAATTCCTCTTGCTAGTCGAATCGCCTGCTCCTTGCGCACCCATCCGACCTGCTCGCGCCGCCCTCGCTGCCTGAATTGGCCCGCGCGTGCTGTTCCCGTAGCGGCGGCTCGCCATAGCCGTCATGGACAGCTCCACCGTGGCCAGCCTCCTCCAGAACTCCTCTCGCCTCACCGTTGGTTGTTTTAGCTCTTCTTTGATGCCTCCATTTTGGTTTTGGTGAATAACTTGACAAGTTCAAAGCGTCCGGTCATCCCGAGCAGTGCCCAGTTGAAAGCTCTAGTTTGGTTTTGGTGAATTGATGAAACCCTAAGTGCTAACCTAGTTTATCAAGTGATCATGAGATAGGTAGCACATTCTAAGTGGTGAAGCAAATGAAGATCATGACATGATGATGGTGATGCCATGATTATGATCAAGTGCTTGGACTTAAAAAGAAGAAATAGAAAAACAAAAGGCTCAAGCCAACGGTATAAATAATAGGAGCCATTTTGTTTTGGTGATCGAGACACTTAGTGAGTGTGATCACATTTAGGATCGATAGTCGTACTATTAAGAGGGGTGAAACTCATATCGGAATACGGTTATCAAAGTGCCACTAGATGCTCTAACTCATTGCATATGAATTTATGATCTAGTGGAGTGCTAACACCCTTGAAAATATTTGTGAAAATATGCTAACACATGTGCACAAGGTGATACACTTGGAGGTTAGCACATTTGAGGAAGGGTTAGAAACTTCACCGGCGGAGTGTCCGGCCGTAGAGTGCTGACAGTCCGACGGTGCTACTGGCGCCTTGTACAGAAAATACAAGGTTTCACAGAGTGCACCGGACGCTGGTCTCTACTGGACCGGAGCATCGGTCAGTGGAAGTAGTGAAGACGCTGGCGTCGGTCTTCGATCAGACGCTGGGTCACTTCGTGACCGGACGCTGGCGGGGTGCGTCCGGTCCTGCTGACGTGGCAGCGCACAGAGGAGACAGTGAGTGATTGGAGGCTGGGTGAGTCCGGTCGGGCATGACCGGACGCGTCTGGTCACAAATTTCCACCTCTGGGAGCTTACTGGAAGTGACCGGACGTTGGGGTCCTGCATTTGGTCACTTTGAGCAGTGCGTCCGGTCACAACTTAAATGTACTGATGATCGTTGAGATCGGGCGATCAGCATTTGAAGCAAGGGACACGTGGCGTGCATCGAGATACCAGACGCTAGGGTCCTGTGTCCGGTCACTTCGAGCAGCGCGTCCGATCATCACTTGACCGTTGGGATCAGGCGCTCAGTATTTGAAGAGAGGGATGATGTGGCAGCCATCCGATGACTGGACGCTGGCAGGGTGCGTCTGGTCGATCTGACCAGAGCGTTCGATCACCCCGAGCAGTGCCTAGTTGAAAGCTCTAGTTTGGTTTTGGTGAATTGATAAAACCCTAAGTGCTAACCTAGTTTATCAAGTGATCATAAGATAGGTAGCACATTCTAAATGGTGAAGCAAATGAAGATCATGACATGATGATGGTGATGCCATGATTATGATTAAGTGCTTGGACTTAAAAAAAGAAAGAGAAAAACAAAAAGCTCAAGGCAACGGTATAAATAATAGGAGCCATTTTGTTTTGGTGATCGAGACACTTAGTGAGTGTGATCACATTTAGGATCGATAGCCGTACTATTAAAAGGGTTGAAACTCATATCAAAATACGGTTATCAAAGTGCCACTAGATGCTCTAACTCATTGCATATGAATTTAGGATCTAGTGAAGTGCTAACACCCTTGAAAATGTTTATGAAAATATGCTAACACATGTGCACAATATGATACACTTGGTGGTTGGCACATTTGAGCAAGGGTTAGGAAGTTCACCGGCGGAGTGTCCGTCCGTAGAGTGCGGACAGTCTGACAGAAAAGACCGGGCGCCCTAGACAGAAAAGACGGAGGTCACTGTGAGTGACCGGACGCTGGTCTCGGAAGGACTAGCGCGTCCGGTCAGATGAAGCAGCGAAGACGCTGGCATCGGTCTCTGACCGGATGCTGGGTCACTTAGTGACCGGACGCTGGAAGGCTACGTCCGGTCCTGCTGACGTGGTAGCACACAGAAGAGTCACCATGTGACCGGACGCTGGGTGTGTCCGGTCGAGCATGACCGGACGCGTCTGGTCGTGAAAAGTCGTCTCTGGATGCTTACTAGAAACTACCGGACGCTGGGGCTCAACGTCCGGTCACTTTGAGCTGCTGCATCTGGTCATCATTTGACCGTTGAGATCGGGCGATCAACATTTAAAGAGAAAGGACATGTGGCACGCATTGCGTGACCGGACGCTGGTCCGGTCAATATGACCGGAGCGTCCTGTCACCCTGAGTTATGCCCAGTGAAGGGGTACAACGGCTCTATTCCGTGGGGGCTTCTATTTAAGCCCCATGGCTGGCTCAAGCTCACTTTCTTGGCCATTTTGCATTGACATAGCAACCTTGTGAGCTTAGCCAAAGCCCTCCCACTCATCTCCATCTTTGATTCATCATCTTTGTGAGATTAGAAAAGAATCCAAGTGCATTGCTTGAGTGTTTGCATCTAGAGGCACTTGGTGTTCGTGTTTCGCTGCGGAATTCGCTTGTTACTCTTGGTGGTTGCCGCCACCTAGACGGCTTGGAGCAGCAAGGATCGTCGAGCGGAGGGTGGTGATTGTCTCCGGCTTCGATCGTGGTGATTGTGAGTGGTTCTTGGCCTTTCCTCGGCGGAGAGCCAAAATGTACTCTAGTGAATTGCTCGTGGCTTGTGTGATCCTCATCTTGTGTTGGTTGTACGGCACCCTATTGAGGGTTTGGCATGTGATGCCAATTAGCGCGTGAACCTCCAAGTGAGTGAATCGCCACAACGAGTAGTAACTTGCCGGCAAGCAAGTGAACCTTGGTAAAAAATCATTGTGTTCATCATTCGATTCTGAGATGATTAGTCTTCATTGTTATTCATTCTTGTGATTGATTGGATCCTTTCTCGACACGGCGGTACAACCTTCTTGCTCACTCTCTTCACATTACCATAAACTAGTTGTCAAGCTCTTTAGTGTAGCTAGTTCTGAGAGCTTGTTAGTTTGGTTAGTGTGGCTCTTTAGTTAGTCTTTAAGAGCACACTAATTTAGTGTAGTGACATAGCTATTATGTGGTTGGAAACTATATAAACTAGAATTGTGGTAGGTGGCTTGCAAATTTAGTAGGCTAGTGTAACACTTGCTTCGCCTCATAATTGTCTAACCGATTTGTTAAGTGTTGTTGTAAAAAATTTTATTAGGCTATTCGCCCTCCCTCAAGCCATTAGGACATTTCACCAGTGAAGGGGTACAACGGCTCTATTTCATGGGGGCTTCTATTTTAGCCCCATGACCGGCTCTACCTCACTCTCTTGACCATTTGCATTGACATAGGAACCTTGTGAGCTTAGTCAAAGCTCTCCCACTCATCTTCATCATAGATTCAACATCTTTGTGAGATTGAGAGTGAATCCAAGTGCACTGCTTGAGTGTTTTCATCTAGAGGCACTTGGTGTTCGTGTTTTGCTGTAGGATTCGCTTGTTACTCTTGGTGGTTGCCGCCACCTAGATGGCTTGGAGCAGCAAGGATCGTCGAGCGAAGGTTGGTGATTGTCTCTGGCTCCAATCGTGGTGATTGTGAGGGGTTCTTGACTTTTCCCCCGGCGGAGAACCAAAAAGTACTCTAGTGAATTGCACGTGGCTTGTGTGATCCTCATCTTGTGTTGGTTGTACGACACCCTATTGAGGGTTTGGC